GTATTATAGTATTATAGTTTCTTAAATTCCATTGACAGCGACGCGGAGTTAACACCAAAATCTTGCCCATTAACTTCAAAATCTATTGCAGTACTAGACTATGGAAGAAGCTACGCAAAAAGGATGAGTACTTTGGCGAACTGCGTCTTGCAGGGTTCGTCTCGTCGCATTTGTTTGCCACTTTTTGGGACAGTATTGACCTGGCTATGCAGAACCTTCCAGTCCTCTTTTGTCGCTGCGCTTTCCAATTTCCGTGATTATAGGTCCAGCCACCAATGCCTATCTTTGCATAGTTCCTGTTTACCACTTAGACGATGTGTTTTTTTCCGTCCCGTCAATGCCACGTAATGACATCTCTTTCATCTGATGCGTTTCTTTCCTATCAAAGATTAAAAGTTTATGCTGTGATCCAGCGCTACTTCGTCTTTCTGCTGCATCAGGCAGCAGTTTTAGCAGCTGCACCTACGGTACAGTCTTTTAAGCGATGTAAAACAACTCTCGGTCTTGACAGATGATGTCTCCAACAGCAAATCAGCTGTCAATCACCGTGGCCAGGTTTTTCGAAGGTTTCTGATGTAGGAGCCTGCACCCAAAGCTGTTCTTTCATCTGCTGTTAGAGGGCATTGCACCATGTCACGAGTGCTGAAGCAGACAGCAGAGTGACGGATGTTCGACCAAGAACAGACTGATGAATGAAGAAATAAGAATATGCACAAACATTCAAGATGCAGCACTGGTAAAGGAGAGAAAAACATATTAGGCAGGTTCGACTGTACGACTGACAAATCACAGGACTTCAGACATGATTGATTGATACCCGAGGGACAACGAACATCCAATCGGAAGACTGCTCAAATAGAGCGAAGTAAAGAGCTGTAACGTAAATGAAAGGTAGGGAAATTTGTGATGACAAATCGCATACGACAGACGGCTTGAACATCGCGATCAGGTTTAGTTTAGCTCTGCTTACAGCGATACATATCAATCCACGAATGCCTAGCAAAGCCCGAACCCCCCCTAGTCTTCAACGTGGGCACATCAGCATTATATGCATGTGCTACTCTGCTGTTAGAGCAAAGAAAATCTCTAAATTTTGTCGATCCAAGATTTGGGGCACCAAACAAAGCAGATGTCCTGCTTGACTGCGAGTGTAGCTACCACGGTGGTAGCATCATCTGCACATGGTATAGGTTTTGTAGCAAAAGGTGCAGGCAACAACAGTTCCAACACCCGTTTTGTTTAATGCCCAGAATCTTGGATCGATAAATTTGTTATGGTTTCAAAAACGGACCCAGAATGAAAACGAAAATTATTTCTTAATAGCCGTTTACTTTTTATCCAACTGATCTTAACTACTAAAATTCATAGTGCAGAGCTACGATCATCATTTTAAAAAATGTTTATGACCTAGTTACATAAAAATTTCATTGTTAAAGATTAATCTCGACGCAGTGGATCAAACTACCTCAATAACTCTTGATAATTTTAACATTCTCTATTACCTTGTGCCAGTTGAACGTAAGCTGAATCAGACATGAATGAAGGATGTCCGCCAGAGTAGATAGCCGCCGCCGTTGCCGCTGGATTCATGTGGGCTGTCATTGGAACGCCGGAAGCGTTGGGCAGCGTCGCACAGCCGGAGGCCCCTCCCAACTGGCTGTGGAACATATGCGATGCAGCGGCTGCCGCCGCCATGTAATTGCCACCAGGTATGACAACAAGCTGCGAACCTCCAGGGGCGATTGCATAAGCAGCACCGGCGGGCGGAGCAGGATACTGTGAAGACTGCGGAGCCACTGCTGTTTGATTGGCTGCCGCAGCAGCTGCCGCTACTGCCATGGCGTTAGTATTGGCTGGTGGTAGCGGAGGAGGCGGAGACACCTGACGATGGTTGCCTGCGGACGATACTTCAGTAGGATTTGTGTTGTAAGCAGCTGTAGAGAGAGGCACGGACGACAACTGGTGAGCAGAAAACAACTGCGGTATCGACGGTGAGTTAACCACTGGCGCACCGTACGGGGACACTTGAACCAATTGCGAAAGCGCTGAAAAATTTACT